ATTGGAGTCAGATCAGAAAATAGCAAATCAGCCATAAATAGTATCAAAATCAGCCTAAAATCGGTCATTCAATTTCTAGCCGATTTGGACTATTTCGACCAGTGAATATATTTTTATATATTAGAAAAGAAAAAATAGCTAAAAAAATAAAATAAAATAACACTAAATATAAACTTATTTTAACCTAAAAATCATATTTGTCAGTAAAATTGATTTTTTCTGACAATTTTTCTCTTTATATTGCAAAGATTCTATATTATATGTTTATATAATTTGTAATTATATTTAGATATTTTTAATTTTCTGCAAATACAAACACTTATAATATCTGTAAAAAGTTAAAAATAAATGTTATTTATTGGTACTCTATATGGGTCAGGTTGGGTCAGGTTTAAGGCATATTTGAACTCAAAACCTTTAAATAATTACGACTCGGATTCGACTTGATCTGATTATTGTTTAACCCAGATTCGACTTGATTCTCAAGGTAATATTAATGCCGAAAATAAAAAAAGTGTCATATAAAGTTTATTTTATTTTTAAAATTTATTATTTTTTTTTGTAAGCATTAATCCTAATTCTTTTTTCTTTTCTTTCTTTTCATCTTTTTCCACTAGAATTTCAAGTACATACAGACGAATTATATTAGCTTTAAAATACATCTTTTGGTTGAAATAAGATTAATTCTACTAGAAAAAACTCGTTGCATTGAAACTCTTGTTGCTTTATAAAAAAATGTGTTAGTAATGTTTAATAATCGATAATTTTTTTAACTGTAATTGTTCACTCAGCAATGCTTTCATTTTCTAGAAGAAGTTGTACTATTGGTAATATTGATAATTTACTTATTATTTATTTGTTACAAATTAAAGTCGCATAATGTAAAACAAAATAAGTCTTACGCGTCAATTTATATCGATATTGTCAATTCGAGCTAGGTCAAACAACCCAGGCCGACTCACTCGTTTCAGAGCACTATTATATATAATATTATAGTATAATGATTTAATCGCTGTAATTATTTATTACTATAATAATTATTTTGCATATTTTGCAATAGAAAAGAGAGAAACGGCTGGAAAAAATAAATATATGGCATATAAAAGTAAAATTGATTTTTTCCGGCTGTTTTCCCCCTTTCTATTGCAAAGGTCCCATATATCAAAATCTATTAAACTATTTCCAAAATTGTAAATATATATATTGTTTTAAAAGTCAAAGATACATAATTACTACTATCATTTTTACAATTTATACAGTTTATAAAATATTTACTAGTGTAACGATAATCACAAAATATTTTGGGCTGCATGTATTATTGTAAATAATAAAATAAATTACCTTTTTTTACAAACAATTAAAAAAGAATGTTAATACCATGCTTAATTTTTTATAAAGTAAATAAATAAAAACTACATAAATAAAAAAAAAAAAATTATTCTTAAGCAATATTAATTATTTAACTTTCAATTTATTAAGTATTTTTCGTTTTAACAAATCATATCATTGTTTACCTGCTCTTTAATCAGGAAACCCGAAATCGTAAAATATGCCGACTTAATATCATGTAAATAAAATTGTAATAATTATTAATTACTCAAACTATCGCTATTCAAAGATTCATGATCAATATATTCATTTCTGTACTGAATGTCAACATCGGTAATGGTGCCATCCTCTATCAATTCTTGCGAATAATTATTTGATTGACTACTCAATGGGTGACTTTTTCTATGGTTGTTTTCATCAAATTCAACCGTAATGTCCGTCCTAACATGATCCTTTCCATCTTCCCTTTCTTGTTCTTCCTCCTCTTCTATTTTCGCTTTATGAATATCCTGATAACACCCCTCTTGATCATTTCGAGAAGGAATTCGAGCATATTCTGCTTTCATCTTTTCTTTCTTTTTAACGTGTCCATGAGAATCCCTTTCTAAAGTTAAGCTTTCAACAACTTGATTACTGATGTTGGCAATACTTGGTAATCGCTCAATATCAATCTTTGATCCAATATTAAGTATTGGCACCGTAATTCCATGAACTATAACTGAACTAAGGACAGTGAATGCAACGATCGGAAAAATAAGTTCTCTTGTTCTTTTCATGGCTTCCTCGTTGATGTATTTTTTCCCTGGTTGATCAAGACTTTCGTCGATCTCTTTTTCGACTGTAACGGCTAAAAATATCGCCCCTACTCCAATTGGTCCAAAATAACCTGCGAATACCGCCTCTTTAAAAGTATGTATAGCAGGGATAAATTTTTTAAGTGCGATTATTATTGGTAGTCGTCTAAAAATCAAGATTAAAAGGCTAATAGGAATAAGATGATTTAAAGAAAGTTCTTCAGAAGAAAAAGAAGACCACGGAATCATTGTACCGATGTATATAAAAGTGGTAAGGTTGAGGAGCAAATCAATAACTTCTTGTAAATGAGCATCGTGAGTTTCCTCTCGAAACCAATCGCTAATTAATTTTCAAAATGAATAAAATGTTAATTTTTTTTTAAAAAAAAAAAATGAACGAGAGAAAATTATTAATGAGTTACTAACTCCCATGAAAAAGAGGTTCCTGCCATGAAGCAAGATAATAAAGCGTCTGAACCTAAAATGCTCACGCTACCAATGATAAATATCTAAATGATAAGTTTTGTTAAATTCATATATTGTTAAGATTACACCACAATGAATTATTAACTAACCGATAATGCGAAAGCGAATACTAAAAAAGACTCTTTATCAATCCAGTTACTGAATTTAAAAAAAAAAGTGAATTTGATTTATCAAGTATGAAGACAAAAGATAAAATCAAATCAAAATAATGATAATTACCGACTCTTGGCTAATCTCAACAACTTTCTTGCACCCCAGCCAATCAAGAAACCGATCAATATTGAAAATAATATATGATAACCCCAAACGAAATAAACCCATTTACTTAAAACAGTGCCAATATCATTAGGAGACTTTAACAAATAAAGTGCTAAAAAAAGGAAAGGAAAACCCATCCCTAAAGTAGACAAGTTGTTATATTACTTCGGTTAAATTAAAAAGTATTTATAAATAAGATTAATTCCTCACCATCATTCACACCACTCTCTGCGGACAAAAGATGTCTCACATGAATTGGAATATGTTTCTCTGCAAAAGAGCCTTGCACCACAGAATTTGCAAGGATCTGAATTAAAGATTAAGTTATAAGAATGAATCACAAATCAAGAAAAGGAGCCGTAAAAAATAATCTCACCGGATCGGTTGGAGTTATACACGAAGCTATCAATAATGTTTCTGTCTATTTTTAAACGATACATATATTATTATGCCATAATCGCTCAAATTATTAATATGATCATAAATGTTTTACTCACAAATGTTACCGATGGGATAAAAAAGTATATTATCAAAGCACTAGTGATCCACATCCACACCATAACTGGAAACAACATGATGATCATTGAATGGAATTGACGTGTAATATACGCTCTAGACAACATAATTATCATAAATGATTGAAAATAAGGTTACGAAATTGATAGCATTATTAGTAAATACCTTGGTAAATTAATTGCCGCTGTCATAATCTATTAAATTTGAATTTGAATTCACGTTATCTGGATATATAAGATCACACGTGTAATAAAGAAATTGAATTGCTATACCTGAATTGCAAGAACAATTCGCGTTATTTCTTCGGTTATTTTTGAATTCCATTCCTTTTTAATTAAAGTCAGACCATGAAATAAAGTATATCGATTTCATAAATAGAAAAGTTATAAAAAGTATATACCGTCGGATCAACCAGGTGAAAACAGGCAGGACCTATTATGACACCCATTAACAAAGCAACCACTTGAAATGCAATTTGGTAAAGGAAGAGTTTTAAAAATTGGTTCGAGAAGCGAATTTTAAATAAAACATAAATAACGTGATTTCTTACAAGCTTCGCTTAAATAAAGCCTTTCTTTTACTATTAAAGACATTAAACCAAACAGTACTATAAAGCCTCCTAATAAAGTATAAACCACAAGAACTTCACTAAAATCAAAGATTTGCATTGTGAAAACGTTTTTGCTGAGGAAGATTTCCTAACAGGATGCATTTTATACTTTTTTAGTTATGACTTCACTAATGATAAGACTGACGGTTTTTAGCTAGAGCGTGAATAACTATTTTGAGGCGAGATAAAGTTGAAGTAATCATTTCGTTCACGTGCCATTGGGATAAACCCATAATTGGTCCAACAATTAATACTAAGTATATTAATTTCTATTTTTGGCTGACAAATTTTAAAATAGGAAATGGATTATGCTTTTTATAGATTCTACCACAAAGATGTTTCAAACAATATTTCTTTCTCTGTGTATACCAAATATTGTTTTGATTAACCTCATGTCTCATCACCCACAAATAACAGGATCAGGCAATTCCTTCACTGTTTTTCCTGTTTCAGAAAAAGAAATTCTATTCTTAAAACAATTAAATGATCGGCCGTTTTTGCATTTCCTTGACCGACTTCTACGATTAAAGTTTGTGGCTTTAAAACTAAAAAAACCTAAATTAAATAAAGATTTCGTAATATAACCGAAGCTTTTATTTTAATTGGTTCATATGAATGATGTCAATGATTAAAATGCGATGATCTACAACAGTACAAATTACTACAAATAACGGGGTAAAAAGTAGTTACAATGCAACAAAGAAAGTAAAAAAAAAAAAAAAAAAAAAAAAAAAAAAATTTCACAAAATCGGGATATATTCACTTCAAACTTTTTCTCATACCAGTCCACAGCCTTTTCTTTCCCAACTCTCTTACTTTCCTTTGTCACCAACTTTTTACTATTTATTTTTAAAAAAATAAAAAAAAAAAATAAAAAAAAAATAAAATAAAATAAAAAAAAATATTCTTGTTTCCACAGGTAATAAGACTGTTGACTGTTAAGAAAAGTGTTTAATAAATTCGAAATACTTTTATTAATATTTGTTTTTCTCAAACCTTAAACAGTTATGGCCCACGAAGAGTATGCACGAGGTATATTTACGTTTTTTTTTTAAAAAAAATAAAAAAATTAATTATGTAATATTTCAGATCTAACGGCTTAAAAAAACTTAAACTTTTTTTTTTTTTTTAAGCCATACGTTTGGAACAGTATAGAAATCGTCAAGAAGCCGCTAAAGGATTTGATGATGACTTTGAATTTTGTCCTTCATTATCGGCAGAGGAGGTATAGAACGAAACACTTAAAAAAAACCTTTTGGTTATTATCTGATAACAATAGACTTGATTTAATGATTATTATTTCTTTAGCTTGCAGAAATTCGTCGACAAGGAAAACCAGTAACACCTCCACAATCTAAACGTCCTATACCTATCATCGATCCTAGTAATAAAACACCTCTCAATATTACTCCTATAAAATCTGTTATTTCTTCTGCTACAAGTATAGGACAAGTTTCAATGTCTTCAGCATACTATTCACGACCAGGATCGCCATATTCTCATGGTAGCAATTATTCTCCAAAAGTAACAAAATCAATACCGATTATCGATCCTAGTAGTGGGAATATCGTGAATATGCCCAATGGCAATTCAAATAATAACACTAATAATAATAATAACGGTTTCGGGTATTTTAGTGATATTTCGGTACGATAAAAAAATGTGGTGTGAAGCGGAACGAAGAGGCTATGGGTTTAACCTTTTTTTATTGTAAAAAACAAATTATATTTTTTTTTTTAATTCCTTCATGAACACTTCTTTGTCATGCTAACTTCACCAACATCAATCACATAGATTTAGCCATGAATCGCTATTTCACGATACTCTTATTTTAGTTTCTATTACTTTTTTTTGCATTTTCACTTAAATTGTTTATTGTATGCACTTTTATTATTATTTTTAATTCGTATTTGCAAAGATTTTCTTGTATAGGATCTGTAACATCGTTATCTTTTCATTTGAAGGTAATGATGTTTCTTCATGTAATAAATAAACCATCTTTTTTCATTTAATTTTTTTTTGTTACAAATAGAAATCATATGAGCATCGATTTTTTTTTAGCGCTATAAATTAAACCAAATTTGGTTAATTAATAATTTGCCTAAATACTATATGTGCATATTATGCAGGGTATATATGTAAAATAATTTCCATCAGGTGTATTTTTTTAATTTCAAAGATCATAATGTTGATCAGTGAATGTTTTTTTATGGTGTTGGTTATATTATCCCGTCGATCGTGTATTTATAGTTAAGAAACTTATCACCTGATTTCGAACTTGTACCCTTGCAATAGAAAGGAAGAAACTTGTAAAAAATGAGTCAATCATCTATGACACGTAATTATCACAAAGGTTTATATTTTTATACTTGAGAATTCAATAACTTCAGATAAGAAATAATATTTTAGATAAATATGCATTTATAAAATAAAAAATATTCAAAGATTAAATAAATTCTAATAAAATACTTTTAAAGTATATATTAGTTAACATAAAGAAAGAATTAAGTAAAGATTTTTATAGAAGTTCTTAAACTTTTATATTTCAAATCATTATATAATTTTATAAAAATAATTTATAATGATATTATAAAATTATTTATTAATAAAACCTGCACTTATTTTCTTATTTTAAACTTTATGATATATAAAAAATTTCTATATATGTTATATAAATACTTATAAAAATTATTAAAGTTATCTATTATGTAATTTATTTATTAAAATATAATTCTCAATAAATCAGAAATAAAATTTTAATTATTTAGAGTTGAATTTTGCAGATTAAATGAATTACTATTTAATAAATAAAATATGAAGGTATAAAACATTTTTTTTTTTATTTTTATAGAGCTATCCTGATTAGTTAAAATTACTATTAATAGAATATAAAAGAAATTGTTTAAATATTTTACTTTTTTTGTATTATAGATCTTTAAAATTATTATTAGTATCACTAATTGTCTATTATATATTATTTTTTTTTTTGATTAAATATTATCTTAATAAATAAAAATTATTGGAAAATTCAAAAACAAAAATAAACAATATTTATAATTTTTTAACTTTATTTTCTTTAATTATATAAATAACATAAGAGCTCAATATAAATAATAATTTAGAACTAAAGAATTCTAAATAGAATTTATTTTATATTTAATAAAAAGAAAGAATTTATAATTTATTTTAATAATATTTTTGTATTTCTTTTATTATATTTAATTTTATTGTTATTAATTAGAGGTTTATCTAGCTTTTTTTATCAGATACTTCTAATATAATACTTATATGAAAATAACTTACTATTATATTATAAAGATTTGCAAATAAAACAGATATATAAATATTAGAACAATACTTAAAATAAATTAAGATTTAATATGTAATTTTACAAATTAATTCTTAAAGATATTATTAGATTTAAAAAAGTATTAAATTATATAGTTTTACAAAAATTTGAATATAATAAGTTTAGTTTAGAAAACTATAAATTATCTAATATAATTGATATTATAAATAGATCATATATACTAATTCATTATTTTCTTAATATAATATACATTTTATAAATTGTAAAACCTTTTATTCTATTAATTTTTTTAGAATAATTAGTTAATAAAATATTGTTATTTATATATAATTAATAAAATAGATAAAAAAAATGTGATTAATTTTTTTATATAACAAATATTTTTATTTTTAGAAGTTTACTATTTACCACCACTGGTGCTTAGCACCAGTGTCACGAATTTCCTTTTTTAGAAGTTCGTGTTACCTAATTTCGAATTATAATAAAATAAGAGAATAACCGCCCTG